ATACTTTTTTTCCTGTGATTATGGAAACGAATCACAGACAATCTCCCATTTAGTTACTAAATGCTTGATATACGTATTCAAAGATCGAATGATATTCATACAACTAATTGGAATGTAGTTAATTGGATATAAATCCTTGGCATTCATTTAAAGTTCCTTATATCCTCGAGCTATAATAGTTTCCGTATTTATATCATGTTAGTCTTAAATATTTTTCTCATTATTTACTTCATTTTTGTAATGTTTAATGCATTTTATTTTATTTATTTACTTATTAACATTTATTTCATATTGAATTTTTTTTCTACAAATCTACTGTGTGCTAAAACTTATCATACGAAATAATAAGGTATATATTATATTATAAATATATTTGATTTTTAGGAAATCATTGTTATTTTTAACAATGTAAAATAGTCTTATAATAATGTCATTATTTTTATAGACTAAATTGTTTCATACGGTAAATAACTCAATCTGATGTAAATTATTCAATTTTTTTGTGAAAATTTCACAAGAATAATTTTAGTTTGAAAATTCACTGATAATGTTATTAGGTTTCTCAATTATCTTCTGTTATGACTCATGTAATGAGAAACTGTTTTTTGTTTTTATATAAGATATATTCCATAACAATTACATGACAACTGATGATGCTTCTTTAAACTATGCATTAACTTTAAAAATGAAAATGAAATACATTTTACTATTATAGTTTGTACAATTTTCATTTACCTTGATATTTTTCTATATTATAATTTTAAATTAAGTATAATTAATAACTATAATATTTATTTAGATAACTTCCTAGTTTTTAATTGTTATTAGTTAATATTTTATTAATGGTATGTAAGATAATATTATTAAAGAATAAAATTACCATCTTTCTTAATACTTATAGTATATTATTTACAATTAAATCCTATATAGTACATAGTAGATATATAGGTTAAACATTAATGTTTTTGTTTTATAACGAGAAATTTTGTATAAAAGACATTTGTTTTATTATTTTTTACAGGTAACTAGCATTCCAAATTGTTAATGGTCAATAATTATTCAAGTTTATCAATATATAAATATATTTTTTTTAATATCTGAATATCAAATAATAATTTAATTTAATTTTTTGGTAAATAATATAAAAAATGTATATCCTAATTAAAATGTTTAAAAGTGTTTCATACGCGAAATTCATAGAGTATTGTTTCGCTAATTTTAAATCACTGTTTTTGATAAAGTCACTTGAAAAATTTAATTAATCGTACATTTTGTTTTCTTTTTTTTTAATTTAACACTTATTAATGTACCAAAATAATTTGTTCAAACAATGTAAAATAAATCAATTAAACACCAGTAATTATTTGCTGTACTACAATTTATTGTGTTAAGGCTTAAGATTAACAATATTTAAGGTTTAAAGATAATTCCATATACATTTTCATGAAAATATTAAGTTTGAAAGTAAAAATTAGAATATGTTTCACTTAGTACACATCCAAGATGGATAAAGTATGTACATTTTTTTATATTTATCTATACTAAATCTAGTTACAAACTATAATTTTAAAAAAAAAATAATAATTATTATTATTATTATTATCTATACTATACTATATAAAATTGTAAGGGATTTTCTACGACTGCGCTAACCGAGAAAACTACTGAACCGATTTGGTTAAAATGTTTTACTGTTGAATGTCTTAGTACCACTTTGTTAATAAAAAAATTAAAGGAATTAAGAAAATTGGGAATTTTTACGCATATCCAATATTATTATTAAAATTATTGTTTTATAACCATGGTTACCATTAAAACACTTATTAATTATAAATTCCTATTTATTACATTTAACATGTCTATACGTATTGTGACCTCTTAAAAATAGTTAAATATAACTATGTTCTTCAATGCTATGAGGGAGATTTTCAAACTTAGTAGTTATTCATATTGAAAAGGAGTTATCACACGAAATAAGTAGCAATGATATTTTTAGTTGATTTAGAAAAGTAGAGCATTATAGACAAATGATATCAATAAAATGCCTCTAAATTATATTGTTTAAAATAAAGTAATTTTTTACTGGCCAACAAGTTGTATTAGATATGTTTTGGTTTAAATAATTAAATATTTAAAGAAGTTTAATGCACTAACCCAATACACAATTTTCCCTTATCAACAAATCCTTACGTCTTTGCGTTCTCAACAATTATGGTGATTGCCTTTATATACGACTATGGGTAACTACCGTGATGTCATTTCATTCACACTCGAAAACTCAGTTTGTGATTGTGCCTACTAACTTTAAAGCTTAAAACTTCATTAAATAAGGAATATGGTTACTTTTAGTTTAGTATAATCAAATTAACAAATACAATTATTCTATTGAATAAAAGACTAGGACCACGAAGGATCGTTCACAATACCTAATAATATAATGTTTTGATTAAGTGTAAACGCAATAACAATAATAGTGCCTATTGTACTTTCTATATGTTTATTTTTATGTATTATTACACTGTTGCAATATCAGTTATTATTATATTATTATATTAATTATTTTAATAATGGATAACAAAAAAATAATTGATAATATTTTTTTTCATAGTATATGTTTTTCGATCACTGTATTATAATAAATTGTCATTAGGTTATCCATAATAATTATTGAATAGATTTGAAAAATGATCAAATGGTTTGGTGGTCTCGTCTGAGACGAATACATTTACTATGTACTTCAGAAGTTTAGTTTTCTCAACAGACCACTGGACAAAAATGCACATTCAGAAATGTAGATAGATAATCGGACTCAGGAATGGAAGTCACGCACTCATGCATCACATACTTGGTTTTTTTTTATTATGCTTGAACATACCAAAGATAATCGTATCACTTCGGCCAATGAGTATATTAAGTCACCAGAGACAAACTAGCATGTTTCTTGTTTGGGTCTATGAGAGCAACCACATTACCTACTACATGGGTTCCAGCAAATGTAGTATATATTATAATAAACTACCAATTCACAATTGTATAATGGTGTACACGCATACTTTGTCAATAATTCCCAAAATAATATAATCCTTTATTTTACCATTTTAACATACCTACATTTAAAATTTTTGTTGATACCTTATAAATTCTGTAGCTACGAGATACTTGAAAGTTATTTTATTTTAAGTATTTTTTTTTCGAAAGGATCCATTCAAAAATGTATTGGAACGTATAAAAAAAATCAAAATCAAAACACTTCTTACAAGAAACAATAAAATTGTGATAACATTAAGTACCTACCCACTAAATATTTTTTTTTTTGATTATTGTTTACCATTTTAAATTCTAAACATTCGAAGCCAATGTGGATTAAATTTTAACGCATATTATAAAATATTATTATTGACTTTATTATTTACTATACATTAATTGCATTGTATAATTGTATGAATAATTTATTTATTTGGAAATAAAGATTTTTAATATGCCCATATCATATTATTATTATAAGTGTAAGGATAGAAGATCGACTTTAGTAATTGAAACAGTTGAAATATTCAAAAATAATTAAAAAAGTTTTATTTAAAAAATTGGTTACAGATGTATTCAACATTTCATCAAGCTCCAATTCAAGTGCAGGTTTTATTTTAGTTTTAATATATATTTACATTTTAAGTACAATATAATTTATAAATCATTGTTATGTATGAAACTAATTATGATGATTTTTATAAAACATCTTAATTTTTACTCTTGTTTTCTATAACGTTAAATGTATTTATACTTGATTTTAAATTTAAAAAATTTGGGAACATCCTTTGCTTTAGAAAAGGTATGTAGTGTTTCTTATAATTATTAATGTGTATTGAATTCAATGATAAATCATTGGATACAGAAAACCTCGCAGAAAACAATTCTAAGCGAAAAGGGTCATTGGCCATATATTTTTTTCAAACCGAAAGTAGTTTGATTAATTAAAATATTTTATGTTATGTGTTTTAATTAGTTAATATCAAAAGGAAAAAAAAATTGAATATATTGAAGAGTTCAATGAAAAATTGAGTTAAAATCAATAATATAATGAGGTTTCAATATTTGTTAGCCCAAGTCTAGAGGTAATTTTGTTTTACTTAATTTTTTTCCGTAAAATAATATAAATCTGAAACCTTCATCATGTACAAATTGTTGTTTTTTTTTTTCATTATATCCATATTATAACTAACTCTATTAATAAATTATTTATTTACCTAGTACATATACAACTCATGACAATAAGTTGTTTCAAAGTATAACTTAAGACACGAGATAATAAAATTAATTATCTATGATAATAAGAATAACTTTTCTCAAATAACTACCTGTTTAAGAATAGATTTCATGAAACTTTTATTCGCAGAAATACTTTTATATTATGACATCCTAGAATTCCATATTACATAAAATTGTATTGCTTACGTTTAAAGTTTCCATCGTATAAATTGTATTACAAACTATAGAGCAAAAATGTTATAAACAGGTGAGGTTGTAGTGTGTTTCAGTGTTTGTTTTTTTATAAACACAATGCGTGTTAAAAGAGAACGTTAATACTCTGGTTTATAGAAATTCCAAAGCTGTAGCAAGTTCTTTATGCGTTTGTCTTTAGGGATTACAAAAGTAAACTCGAGTTAATGAACGCACACTAAACAAGAGATTATTTCATTTTGTACTTGGTAACTCTTGTAACGTACAACGTACACGGCGATTGACGTGGAGATTGTCATAAAAACGTACAAGCACGATAACGCAATACCATTGCGGCTGAACGGCCGTTATCAATAAAACACTTTACGCAAAACCATATCACCCCAGACTTTGCGGATCGACATGAATAATATAATCAGGTACGTACCTGCGTACCATTACGGGATATTATTTTTACTACACTACGGCCGGGTCCAGCCGTAAAACGGAAATCTCACGCGGGAAAAATATTGAACAAAAGAAAATGTGTTTACCGAGTTGCTTACCGTAAAAGTCAGACGTATCCGTGCGGGTGGTGGGATCCAATTGTCCGTGCGAGTCTGGACGGTGGAGTCTTACCGGTGCCGGATGTGCTGTAGCAGATTCCGCCGGAATCGTTAACGTTTGACGGTATTATTATTATTATTATTATTATTATACATTACACCGATCGACACAAACGCGACGGACAGGGCGGTTACTGCGTCCGTGGTTATACGTGTTTATGGTATATAATAATAGGTATAACACTAGAAAACGCACGGGCGTGCACGAAACACTTACGATTTGTGTACATTCGGCTGTCACTGTCACTTGTGCGGGATCATCGTCGCGGCGGTGTTTGCGGCTGTGATGATATGATGATATTCACTGGCGACACTTTTTGACCGAATTTTTGAACCTAACCGGGGGGGGGGGACAAAATACCTGCGACGATTTCGACGGTAACGGCGATCGCGATGGCAACGTTCACGAGACCCGTATCGGCGACGGTGGTGGCTTTTTAGCAACTGAAACCGCAACGCGCTGCGTTCCGGGGGCATACGCCTTCGTTGTACTTACATGACGGCGCGCTCCGGACCGGCGCACGCCGCGGGTGCATTTATAAACGCGCCGGCCGATATCTTGACGAATATTATACAATATTAATAATTTTCGTCTCTCCGCCGGGATCAGAGTCTAAAATCACATACGGGCACCACAAGCCTTGTAAAACACGAAGCACGCCGAGTGTCGTGCAATGACTGGCATTATGAAAATCCGTTATTTTCTCTTCCAAATTTTTAATCTTATCTATATATTTCAAATGTAATTATTAAAAAAAAAAAAAAAAAAAAATCAAAAAGTTATAATTACATGTAAAAATATTTAGCACTCAAAGTCAAAAATTTTAAAATAATATTTTAAATTTTAACATTTTTGTGGTTAGCAACATACATTTATTGGGAATGGTGTATTTTTGTCATAAAAGATAGACGAACAAATCACAATTTCATTTACATTCTGTAAAAATATTCAAGTTGTAATAAACGTCTTTTTTAAATAATCTTAGAAATAGTTTTTAATATTAAAAATTTAATTTTAATTAATTTTTCTGTTAATTTCTAAATATCTGAAAACCAATTTTCCTTATTTGCTGATATAACTCTAAACCGTTAGACACCAAAAGAGTGTTTGATATTTTATAAAATCAAGTGATAAATTATGGGAGAGAGAATAAAGATTACCCATGGTAATGTATAGTTTTATACAAAAAGTGTTGTATAAAATATAGATTTTAGCCTTTGGGTAAAATTTATGCTATTGGAGTAATTGTTCAAAGGGTTTTTTTCCTAAACCAAGACGTAAAGGAAATCATTTTCTTCCTTAATTTATTTTTGGGTGATGAAAAAACCATCGTATATAAATGATTAGGTAATCTTTTGGTTTCCGAGTGCCACCAAGTTCTACGAAAAACTAAGATTTTTTTGGAGTTATTAAAGAAACGAGCGTAAATTGGGAAAGTAAAGAGGTATGCTGACGGTGGCGGAGATACAAAGGCGACATGATTTTGTTGAGTGGTAGTCGATTGTTTTGTTTGTCTTAAACTCTGAGTTAAGCGTAATGGTTTTACAATAATGTTGTTTGAATGTCTATCATCATGTTTTGAAACAGTAAATTTGGTAAAATATTTAAATTGAAGAAAGTTTTTTTGAAAAAAATTGTCGTGGTTAGGTACTTCTAAACCGATTTTGTTTTTTATTGTATAATTTAAAATAAACCGTATTAGTATAAATTTTCACCGAATATTTAGCTTAAAATGTTTAAAACACATTTAGTCTCAACATTTTTGACATTAAATTTGACAATTTTCTCTCAGACTATTTTAAATATTTAGTTATTATTCAAAAAATATTATTCGTAGAAACTTGCCACTTTTATTTCATATATTATATATTTTATTTTACTAAATTCAATTGTAACAAAAATATTTTATAATATTAACTAATTATTATTAATACATGACGTGTATTCGTATTTTTGCTTACAATATTGTTTTTTTTTTTTCATATGCAAAAATCGATTATTGAATTCAATATTCGTATATCTATTACTGTGAATTAATCGAATTGCAAAATATATGGCAGAAACGAATTCCCAGTGCTTTTATTATTATTTATGATTTTATTGTTCTTGTAGAACGCAAATAACGTGGTATTCCATTTAGAAAATATACACGCACATTTCTCATAAATTCAACGGGGTTTTGCTTATTCCGTTGTCTTAAAATTTACATTATTTTAAGTGATTAACCAACAAGACGTTTAAATACGTTTAACTAAAATATAAGAAATAAACTTACTTTCTTGCAGAGATGCTAACTATTAAACCGTTGAATAAAGTTTGAAACCTTGTCCAAACACTATAGAGTATATACGTTTTATATATACTGACTGAGTCATGAATAACGTTAGAGTTGTGATATTAAGTGTTAAATATGATTTTAAATAACGTTATGATAATAATAGTTAATAATACTTAAAAATTATTTTTTATTTTTAAAACATTATAATGTATTAAATAAACCTAATTCTATCCAGCAGGGGTGGATTATGCCGGCGGGATATCAGGGTTTTTTCTTATGGGTCTCAGCTAGTAGTGGACAGCAGGCTATTCATACAAATTATAATTAGAAGCGTTCTTGCTTATGGCTGTAGCTTATAAATAATATATTATATTAAATAATATTGACGGACGTTGATGACATTATTAATAAAATTAAAAATTAAATAAAATTTATTTTTAGTTATAAAATATTAAACAGGTGTGTAAAATTATTTTAATTTTCTGTTTTTATAAAATGCAAAAATATAAGTAACTATTTCTTTATAGTAATTACTAATTTTAGGATAATATTTTCTATTTACCATAAAAAAAAAAAAAACATGTATTTGTACACTAAAATAGTATATCCATGATTCAGAACGAAATAAATTTGAGAGGTGGTCAAATATTTTTCTCAGCCAATTTTTTTTCATAGCTGCCATAGGTTTTATTTAATTTAAATAAAATATTGTGTTAAGTTCTAGAATTCAAAGTCTTAATTTGCACAAAACCCTTAAAATGCAAATATAACTGAGTTACCAAATTTCTCCTTTTAATGTTCTAATTAGAATTGTTTAATGTTTATGATACATGTCTCAAGCCTATATTTGTGATCAAATTATGCAAAATGTATTAAATTGGAAACGTTGATTTTAATTTTATAATATCGCGCGTGTAATGATTACTAGTTTTTGTAAGTTATAAAATGTAATAGGGTATTAAATGTATTAAATTCTTCTTCAACCTTGTTGTTTAATAATGTTCTAAATAATGAACTACCTAATTTGTTTTTTGCTTAAATTGTAAAATGTAGGCTAAGGCGACGCAATTTTTGAATTTTGAAACAAAAAAACTCACTGGAATTGTCTGAGTGAGTATTAAAAACAAACTTGCGAATTTTAGAAAATCAATTGCAATTATTTAGTATTGATTTTAACATTTTAATGACAACTTGTATTAATTAACAGGATTAAAATTCTTACTACACCCATTTGAATAAATCAAAAATTTCAAAAACAAATTTAAAAATTATTGTTTACCCAACATTGAGTCGCGAAATATCTTTGATGGGCCGCGACTCGCGGTGTTTGTAAACTAATAAAGCAACTATCTTGATTATGTATGTATAAAACAAATTTAAATAAATATATAAAATAGTTCTAGTCGTAAATTAATTAATACTTAAGTTATATTCCATTTAATATCTCTATGTATAATAATAATGTGAGGTCTAACTAATATTGTTTAATGTAGGACATAGTTTTTACAATAGATATCAATATATTTTTAGTAACTATTGAAATATTTTATTACGATCATGGAAAATTTGTTATCTTATCAGTGAATGTGCTAATTATCGATATCGGTCGATTGTTTATTCAGTTGAGCAATACGTAGTATATTATTGAGACTATGAGAATAAGTATAACCGAAAAGTTTAAGCATACCAGTAGATGCTCGTTTTTAAATAACCAAATTTTTTATAATAATAGTTTTAATCTATTAAAAATTTTAATCTTAATTTAAATTTAAATTTTAATGGATAAAATTATTATTTGTAAAGCCACGGTTTATAGTATCAGTCAACTAATTCCATCGGGCAATTAAGCACAATACGAAAACACTAAGTTAGCAATACCATGTATTCGTTGTTACAATACAACATTTTTTTTAAATTTAGGTTTCAAAGATGTAAAATTAATGAAATAGTTAAACCAAAATGTGATTTGTATGAATACATTTTAGCTTATGATAACTTAAAATCCTCCAAATTAAAAAAAAATATATTTCAATTTATAAGTAATACAAATGCAATGAAAACTTATTAGCATGTGACATATTTTTTTGTTGTGCAGGTTTTATATTAATCTATTATATACATTGTTTAATTGAAAATGTCGAAAACTATTTACTAGTACATAAAATATAATATGATTACTATCATTATACCTATTCGTAAAGTTTGTACGAAAAAAAATTAACATTTTAAAATATAACATGATGAAGCAAGCACGATAATCACAATTATTATCTAATAAAAATAAACGTTAATATTAATTATAAATAATAAAAATTATTATAGTGGCCTGGTGTGGCGCGGTGGTTGCCCTCAGTCACTACAGTTCTGAGGTAAATCATCTGCTGGCGCCGCTAGCTCTCGGATGGGTGACCACCCAATTTTTTGGTGACGAATCCATGACGCACACACAACATACACATACGTGTTCCCTACTAATCATATCTCACAATCAAACCTTACACAAAAACCTACTGTTCCTATCCATAGCATGACCACTTAGTTGCCGGGTTTAAAAAAAGATCAATAAAAAAAAAAAAATTTATAAACAGAATGAAACCTATAAGAATGTTAAAAGATAAGATGTTATTGCCTATTGGCAACTTTTTTTCTCTCATCCAATAAGTTCGCTTTTTCATAGTTTATATAATATAACTTCAGATATATTTATAATTTGCTGTGTATACATTATTTAATATACATCATTAAAAACTAAATACATTTAAAAAAAATATGTTTTTTTTTTTTTTTACATTTGAAAACAAGAATAGAAACCTATGCTTTCTAATTAATTTTTCGGTACTTATTGTTCATCCGTGTAAATTAATTAAATTATGTATGATAAAAGATTTTCATCCCAGTATCATAAATGATTTGATTTTAAACTTTATCTTAATTAGGTCTTTATTCTGGAAATAATTCTGGTAAATTAATATTAACATATTGGAAGGTTGTAAATAGTCCACATGGGTACCTATATATTCATCAAACAGACTTCAATTCTGGATTAAATGAAATTATCTTCATTAAAGAAATTATTATTCATGTTGATATATTCTTAGGGATAATTTAGTCATTAAACATAATCAATATTTTCTCCAAACTCCAATCCT